TCTGCACAATCTCTTTCACATCTCTGCACCGTAGAAGTGAAATCACTTGAGCAGCTTGAACATTAGGGACAAGTACGAGCCCAGCTTCGTAGGACTCGCTTACTTTTAAACCTTGTTAAATCACTAACGTAGCTTACTTTAGGAAATTAAATGTGTATGATTTGAGGATATGACATACTCTCCTGTGTCAGTCAATAAAAATCCCTCTAAAGTGAGGACACGTACAGCCTGCTGCCGAAGGAGCTGCTGTTCGCATAACGATAATACTTAGCACTGCCAGAGCACTTCACATTTTCAGAAAGCTTTAGAGATATTATGATCAAGGTGGATGACTGGAATAGTAAATTTTCATTCAGTTATTGCTGCAAAGCAGCAGTTCTTTTCATTATGGAACATTTTAGGCCATATGGGCTCGTGAGAACATCTTGAGGAAATTGGCCAGGATTTCCGACTCATGATGTTCATCTTAAAATGCAACTGGCAGAGAAGCCTTCAGTTTTCTGGCATTTTCTCTGCAGAAGAGTTGCCTGGCTGTCAGTGGCCAGGGGGTGTGGGGTGGAAGCTCTTTACATCCGTGGCTGGGGTACGTGTGATGGGTGAGGTTAGAAGGTGCGATGCAGACGTGTTCCTCACATTTACATAGAGCAGAAAACCTCCAAGAAGATAATCCCACAAGTGTCTTCTTGACCTGCAGCTCCAAAAAAAGGTACTAGGAGGGTTTGTGCCCTCTGTTCAATGCTGCACGGGTGCAAGCAGGATTATTGCCCAGGTCTCATGGCCCAGCCAGAGGGAGGTCATTATATTACAGCAATCCAAAATGATTGCAGGGTCAGCAGAGTTACTCTTCATTTTCATCGCTCTAATGGTCACAGGCATTTGAACAAAGCTTTTAGCAGGCCAGTCTAGATATCCATACTCGATTTTTACTCTCTTTTAAAAATTTAGGTACGTTTCCTATGCCTAGAACATATATATTGTCTATTACAGCCCTCAAAGTCTGAGGATCTGCTTCTTCAACTCAAAAAAAAAAAACATGCCAAGCTTCTTTTAAAACCCTTTCCTCCAACGTTTGCTTATACAAACTTCAAAACCTGGCAAAGCTACTGGAAATAAAGCCCCTGGTATCTAGTCCTTGTACTCTGGGAAGCTCCAACTGGCCTGCACTGACCTGAACACGCAGAAACCCTCCACGGTCCCTCCTTGGGTGGCAGTGAGGCCACTTGCCAGGGGAAAGAGGGAAGAAGCCCAGATGGGTTGACTTGAGAGATGAGACCACCTTGGTTGGGGTGGGAACAGGGCAAGCCCAGAGGCTCAGACTCTCAAAGGGATTGGGAGCCCAACGCCTGTCTGGAAATCTCTGCAGAGTTTGTGGTCCAGAGCAGTTATGGGAGGGAGCTGAATGTTGTAAGCTCCCACCAAAGGCCCTGGCTGTAGGCACACGTGAAGGAAGGGGGTAGCTCCTTTTCCATGTGTTTTTTCACTTGACTGTGGGTCGTCCCTATCTGATGCTGTCTCATCAGCCAAGAAAACGATGTGTCGTTAAGGCACAAGGAGGAAAATGCAGCTAGCTAAACATCTCGGAAAACACAAGATTTCCAAGAAAACTATTGTTGGAAAAAAAAAAGAACAGTTTCCAGCACAAGAAAGCATGAGGCTTCCACATGAAAGGGAACTTTACACAGGAAGATCTAACAACATTTATCCTCTTAACATTATAGAGAAATAAAGATCAAAAGGATAATGGATTTGAAATAAGACTTAAAAGAGCCCATTGGCCTGGAGCTGCAGGGACCGTTGGGGCCATATGCTGAGCAGAAACAGGATATTTCTGGTACATCCACAGCAAGCTCAAAGGAAGCCGCCCTCCACCCGGCTCGTCTGTCTGTCAACACCCCCAGGCACATCCACACCCATCGGAAAGATGTGGGTAGGGACTTACTCGAAAGAGCGCTGGAGATTAATGCTGCACTTCTCCTTCCGAGGGCAAAACGTAACGTCTGCCTAAAGGAAAAAATGTAGACCCATCTCTCGAGCTCCCAATGCAGACAGCATCAACCTACATCAGCACTGGGGTGGCTGTCAAGGGACCACGGTGAGGAGGAGCTCAGTGATGGGGTTGGGTGGAGAAACCCAACCTCAGCCTTCCGTGACAGCCCCGTGAAACAAAGCAGCAGCCCAATGGGTTTTCTTTTTTTTTTTTTTCTTTTTTCTTTTCTTTTTTTTTTTTTTTCATGGAAAATAAGGAGCTATTTTTTATACCCTAGTAACAGCCCTTGGACTGTCAGTAAAACGTGGGAGGTTTCGTAGTAAATGTTTTGCCTGACATTTTCTCAGAGACAGCGGGAAATAATCAGTGCATAATTAGAGAGGCTGCGTTGGGAAGACCTGCAAATATCTATAGATCTGTGTAGAGTGCAGAGGACCTTTTTTTTTTCCCAACTGAACTCAGAAAAGGTGAAAGTAACTGTGTTTTACAGAAATGTAAGATGATTTTACAGAAGAGACTTAGCATGTACTCCAGCAGAAGAGCCAAGTCGTTGAGTCTTGTTCTTTTATTACTCCTCTCACTTCTGCTGCTCCCTGTAGCAAGTACTTCTGGCCTCTTTGGATAGACATTTGCACCTTCTCCTTTGTGCTTCCAGAAAAGAATTTCATCACAAACCTACCTTATTTTGCTCAATCCACAATCAGGCAGTTCGCACCCTCATTCCAGGACTAATTTCCCCCTCAGGGTCCAGAGGAGCTGGGGTCTGGAGGGGACAGGTCTGCCTTTGCCTGAGAAACATCCAGGGCTGCAGTTCCCTCGGAAGCTGCTAGCTGGGCCGGGTAATCTGCATTCAGGCAGCTTTTACCCCCTCAAAAATAGTATGTGTCTAATCAGCAGGAAAACCTCTGCAGGAAACCAAACAATCTGCTCTAATCATGGAGGTAAATCTACACATTCAGATGCTCACTGGGCCTCCTATAGACTCAAGTGACTCCTAAGGAGCCTGCTCCAGTCTATCAGTTAAATAAATATGTAGGGAAAGTGTTTTCTGAAAGTCTGATTATGTCATCAGCAGAGTGAAAATGCTCCTTCAGAGCTGCCTTCATCTGTTGAGTAATTACCAAGCTGGGACAGGGGGCCAAAAGTCTCCTTTCAAACACACAGAAAGACCAAATGCACATGTGGAGCAGCTAATTTTAAACCTGTGGCATATCCTCCATTTCCCCTCCTCTCCCCCTTGCAGAATACCAAAGGGGTTAGATCACATCCCAGAGCAATCACTCGCGATGGTTTCTTCCCCCTTCTGTTTTCCTTTATCAAACACATTTTCTTTTCCTCTCTTGTGCTCCCAGGCAAAGATCTTATGCACTAGGCTGTAGCCTGGAGCAAATATTGTCTTGTCAAGTTATATAAAAATATCTTTCTTCCAAATGAGGCTTTATAGTTCCTGGTCCCTTGTCTACCTCGCTACAAACGGAGGCAGTGTGTTACCCTAGTTTACAGGCAGGCAAAGAAATCGTCAAGGGGATGAGCAAGGAGGGACTAGGAGCAGAGGCTGGACACCAAGAAAAACAGACACATGGGGTCAGAGGGAGGAGGGAAGAAAATAGCACTTTGCAGGATAAATAGCATCTAATAAGGTTGAAAGAAGTATTTTTTTTTATGATGCCACTCTAAAAATGGTGCACTGAAGAAGCAATTAGGTTGAAAACATGAATTTTGCAGCTTTATTTTCCTGGCCCTTCACCTCCCTGTCAATGGGCTGATGAGCATCCTCACATTGTGGTCATGATGCAGCGCTCACTTCGTGCCCTCCAGATCAAACCATGGTTGGGGTCAGCTTGGGACAAGGCTGTGGAAAACCAGCCAGTAATGAATGTCCCTGCTCCTTCCCCATCCAGAGAGTAAATCAGAGAAACGATGAAGGTTTTGGGGAAGTGGTATCTTCTCAGTTCTGTTTTATGAGAACCCAACATCTGATGTTTTAGGGACTCAGTGCTTGCAGGTCCCTCATAATTTCAGCTCAAAGTGGGTTGTCCTGTCTAACCCGCTAAAAAATTGCCTCCCTGTAGGCAATCCCCATCTGGCTTCCTTCAAGTCCTTTCCTCCACAATTCTTTGTAGGGAGAGTGAAACGAGTGAAAGAAGATAAACAGCTGTCATCAAGATTGCTGATTTGTTCTATGGTTTTGGTAAAAAAACAATTCCACCTCAGTTTCCCACCGGATATTAAAACTTAGCGGAAAGAGCATAGGACAAGGAGCAGAAGAATTAAGTCAAAAAAAAAAAAAAGTGTTGCGATTTAACCACATGGATTTTATGGTGATTTAATTGGACTGCAAAGGCCTTGTGGTGATAAATTATTTTCAAAACCATATTAAAAAGGCACTTTTTTGTCCAGCTCAGGTGTGGAGAACTGAATGACATTCTCCTGTGCTTGCTCAGATGAGACCCACCCTTACTAATTCAAGCTTGGCAAGGGTTAAAAATATGTCCACAGCAGCTGAATCAGACTGATTTAAAATAGATATTGTTTAATCCATGCAACTTTCCAAGATATCATCCCTTGGGTAAATAGGCTGGTTTTCAGACAGTTACATAAGTCTCACATGAAGACCGAGTATCTTTCTGGGTCCAAAATGTGTAAAAGCTCCAAAAGAGACATTTGGGTGGAAAAAAGACCGGATTGTAACCGTGCAATGGCTAGTCAACGTGTAAAACAAAAGGATGAAACGTTGCATGTGGCAAAGCTGTCTTCTCAGCTGTTGTTTGGGAGTGGTTGAAAGAGTTAAGCCCCATTCTGGAATGTCTTGGGAATGTTGGCAGAGGGAGAGCGAGCGGCTTTTTTCCTCCCTCTGGATGGAGTCCCAGCGCCGAGCTTTCAAAGTGATGACTTTGGATCCGAGTTTGCTTCTTGGTTCTGCCGCGGAGAGCTGGGAGGTGATGCAGTGCATCCACGAAGCCCTCCGCGAGGGATGTGCGATTGCCTCCCCAAGTCAGGAGGGTATTTTCACCTCTTCCCTGCTCGCCCCCGGGTGCAGCAGAACTCGCCTTGAGAAGACACAGGCAGGGACAAACCACATCCTGAAGGGTGTGTGCGAAGGGAGAAAGGCACATCCCCAGTTTATTTTGGCTGCTGCTTTTTTTGTTGTCGGGTTTGGTTTGGTGGTTTTGAATTTTTTTGGGGTTGGTTGTGTGTTTTTTTGTTGTTGTTGTTGTTTTGTTTTTGCTTTTTTCCTTTTCTTTTGCTGCTCCTCCTTTGATGGAAATGGCCGTGACTTTTTAACCTTGCAGTCCCTAAAGGCGCCTGGGGACCAGCCGATCGCCCCGAGCAGGGAGACGCGGGCGTTTTGCAGGGGGAGCTGGCATGGCTGCTGTGCTCTTTGGCTTTGAGGATCTGCTCTACAGCTGGGACAGCCTGGTGTGGAGCCTGACGTCCCGGGCTCTGAGGACTTGCCGCTTTGGAAATCTGAGGGTCCTGCAGCTCATGCTGAAGCCATGGTGCATTTCCAGAGCCGTTTATCAGGTAGGGTTATAAAACACCAGGCCAGACCTTCAAATCCTGGTGCTGCAGCAGGGAAACCTCCTGGAGAGCCACACGGGGTCCAGTCCTGCTCCTACCGCCTGCTGTGGGTCCCACTGCAGGTGGTGGGGCAGAGACCTAAAGTGGGGGAGAAACGCAGGATTTGGGGATGGTGGTGGGGTTCCTGAGGCTGAACACTGGTCCCAAATCTCCTTCCCATAGCGTGGTGGGGAATAATGGGAATTAAGGGTCACCCTGCTCTGTCCCCTCTCCTTATGAAGCTTTATACCTGTAAGTATGGCCAGCCTTAGCTGGGCTGTGTCCTTGAGCTGTCCCCATGGTGGCACAAAAGCGATTTATAACTTGCATGGAGGAAAGGACACCTCGAGACATGTAACCTGCTGGTAGAAAATGGGCAGGCGCGGTCAGTTTTAAGCTGCAGAGGCACTGGTTGTCCCTAAGTGACTTGTGCAATGCCTTCCGACTGCTCAGTCTGGCAAGTCTGAGGCATCTGATTGCCCAAACCTTTTGTTTTATCCCGTAAATGTGTTACGTGGCATGGAGGCTGCCTTCCCCTCTGCTGCTCTGAGCAGCGGACGCGGAGCTTTGGGGCTGGCTGCTCTGGAGAGCTAAGCTAACAGCTCTAATAAATTGTGTTTATTACTGGGACCGACTAAACTGGGTTAAATCCTCTGTGTTAACGTCACAGCGAAGCTGTTGGAACTGGATGCCAAGTTGAGTAGCAACTTTTATTCCAGTCCATAGGTGAGCCCAGGTTGAAAGGTTGCTGTAAGCCAACTGGCATCCAGCTCGTCTGCTTTTTTAATCAGACAACCGAGGCTAGATGTTTATTCTGCTGCAGGGACAAACCCATTACAATATTTATCGGCTTCACTGGTTTGGCTAATGCTGGACGTTGGATTGACTGATGGGTGTTTGCATTTGGAAAAGGCATTTTCTGCTACTCCTATTTGCTTAGTGTTCTGCTTTTCCTGTGCTTTGGAAGTCTCCATGTGTGAAGCCAAGTTATACAGAAGAGGCCAGATTAAGAGCCTGTAGAAACTGCGTGTGTTGCATCGAGGGAAACCAAGGGAAGGCTTAGAGCAATTTCAGCAAGTTTTGAACCAGCTTCAAATCATGCTTTGGTTTCTGCCGACTTCAAGAATAGATTTTATGGCTGCCTTTGGAGTTCAGCAGGCATGGGCAGTGTGTTTATCCTAAGTATTCATTTATCCTAGAGGATGCCTGCAGCCAATAACACAAACCCATTGCCCAGAAGGACCCCACATCCCACGGATAACCCTGGTGGTCCTGGGTACAGCTTGAGACCATCTTGGGATGTATCAGGTGATGGCCCCGTGTGAACTGAGCTGCCCACGTGGCCATGGGAAGGGGAAGCAAGGCAGCTCAGTGCTGAATCTCGCTTTACTCTCTACCCATGTGAAACCACCCCTAAAAACTGAATAGCCAGGAGATGCATCGAGGCTCAGACTATAAATCTCCTATGCCAGCCTAAATACCAGGCACTGGGGGATGCTGCTGCCCATGGAAGTGTGACAACTCTCCTGGGATCGGTGGTCTAATACCTGATTTACCCTGATGTGCACTGAGCACTTGCACAAGTGCACTGTTTGCCTTACAACATGCACATCTTTAGCTGCCCTGCATGGCATTATATCATGTCCATGGCATGTTATCCCCCTTCCCTTAGACCTACCAGGAAAATGGGACTGGCAAAGATGCCTCCCCTCCTGCCCCATGAGCATTGATGCAGCCTGACGCTCACCGGAGAGGATGGGACACAAACTGGCTTGAGTGGCTGCCCATTTCTCAGCCAGAACCGGTGAACATTTGCAGAAGCTCATTAAAACCACACCACCTTATTTGCTTGAGGTTATTTGCTTATCACCCATCAGCTTCCAGCCTGGAGAGGGCCAGAAATGGTGGGCCGGGTACTGGGAGATTGCTGCTGGGTGGGGTTTTGCTTGGGAAAGGCATCTCATAGCTGCTCTTCCCAGCCAGAAGCAATGGTATTAGCAGTGACCAGCATGAGCTGATAACAAAATGAATCCTAGCTACATAGCAGCCAGCATCCTCCTGCTTAAATGCTGACAGAGTATTTTAGTGGAGTATTGCCGGGACAGAGAGCCTGACAGTTTAATAACTTCCTACCCGGACACAGAGAGTTCTTACATTGTTTGGTGTTTAGATGAACAAATAATCTCTTGACTGTGCTAGTTTTGTGCTGCAATATATTAATCCCTGCTGCTGCTGCATCTTGCGGAGCATAGATCAGCTGTAGCACCTCTGCCTGGCACCAGAACTGAAACAGCCCTAAAATGAAATATTAGATAACCTAGTAAAATTGAGCAAATATTCTCATACACCACTATATACATATCCCTTTCTTTTATGCTTTCTTCTTTGATCTAATCTCTTCCCAGTGAATCTGTTTTGGAGTCACTTGCAGGTTCAGCCTTGCTGAAGTTGACTTGGGGGTGTCGGTACAGCATAAAACATTTTTCTCATTTTTTCTCCTTTTTTCTTAGAGAGCAGGTAGGAGCAGGTGATAGGGAATATGTTTGTGTGATCATGTGGGTGTGAGCATCAAGACCAGGCATGGGTTTGCCTGGTCCAAGGGGTCTGAGCAGGGCGAGGTGCCTGGCTTTGCCCAACAGCATCCGGTTCCTGGCAGCATCCTCAGCACCTTTCTGTCCCGATGGAGATCTGTAGGTGTCTGCATCACAGCCAGTTCATGCATAGCCTGTACCTTCTGCACCTTCATGACACCTGGGTTTACTTTGTGGCCCCGGAGAAAATCTGTGTAGGTTCCCACCAGAGCATGGGATTTCCTTCATGAATGTCATCAGAACCCAAGGTACCCAAATTCACCCTAAACAGAATTTCTACCTTCTCCAAACAGAGAAAACCCAGAGGTCTTGCAGTCACTGCCCATCTCTGGGCACCGTATCCCTGTATTCCCGACAAGTGAGACTTTACTTTCTTGGCTGTAGGGAATTCAGTGGCAACACACTAGCAGAGGTAGATGGAATAGCAATTTGGGTGTGATGTTGGGTGTGCTGATCAGGATCCCATCCTGTCCACTGCAGATTTCAGCCTTCAGATCCATACTGGACGTGGCAGTCACAAGTCTGTAGTTGCTCAGGCTGTGAGCAGTAGTTATAAGAGAGACTGAAACAATCAAAAATTCTTGATCTCCAAGCTGGATTTTAATTTTGGAGGTACTGAGTAAAACCATTTCTCATTGTCTTTAAGTGATGCTGTGGCACTCAGGACACATGAGAACTAGAGGCCTTTGATATCTACTTGCTCTAGGTTGGTTGTGCTGAACGTTTGCTATATTTTAATTGTGTTTTGTGATCCACCAAGTGGCTTTCCAAACGTGATTGCAACCCATTGAGGAAAGGAGATAGCAAAGACTAAACTTCCAGCTGAAGCTTTTAGTTGTGCAAGATGCCACTGAGCTGCCGGGTGCATTTTTACCCGTGCCCAGAAGATGTCTGGCTGCTCTGACCTACAAAAAACAGCCCCGTGAATGAACACAGCGCTGGCTGCTGCGGAAACACTGCCCTTTTAGGAGCTGCTGGGGGGGGCTGCTTTATTGCAGGCAGTCAGCTCTGTATTTTAACATCCTGAAGATATTTCACTATTTATTTAATCTCCAAATCCATCAACAAATGTTTTAGCTTCCCGGCCCTGCCTGTGCAGTGTCAAAGAACATTAAGCAGACCGGGACCTACATCTTCAGTAAAAATGTGTTTATGTGACTGTCTGCTCCAAATCCCACCAACTGCTCCCACCGAGTCCCAGGCAGGATGCAGAGCAGCCTGTGGAGGAGCTGCAGGACCAAACCTCGCAGCTGTTTAATTCCTGCACATGGTAGTGCACTGCTTTGTATTCACCAACTACTTTGCAGAGGCGTTAAGTAGCATCATGTCTATTTTACTGCCCTAGAAACTGAGGCAGAGACGGCCTAAATGACTCACTGGGGGCTACAGACAGGAGAGCAGAATTGCCTTCAATACCTCATTGCTCCCCATATATCCACTTCGAGGTAATGGGATTAAGGAGGGAGCTGGGCTGTAGCATCCAGGGATTGAACATTAAACCTGAAATGAAGAGCAAGAGACTGCTTTTGCCATGCTGGCAGGAGGATAAAGGGCCAAGGAGTGATGGAGAAGGTTCTGTAGGAACAAATGGAGAAGCCAGGGTCCTTTGGGAACATCTGGGGGCTCTGGGCACCCCAGTGCCAGGACGGAGGTTGCTGCAAGGCAAGATCAGGTTGCAGCTCCCAGCTCACTAGCTGGTTTCCAGCTATATCAATCACCCATTACTCTTAGCCCCTTAGCACCAAGGGTGCTTTTGCAGTGCTTGAACACACCATTATTCCTCTTGGACCAGAGATAGCAGGTATCAAAGCCCAGAAGATGGTTTTATGGTTTCATGGTTTTCTGTCTTCCTTGCTCCACCAGCAGAGGAGGCCCAGGTTGTCTGCCACCTTCCCACCCCGATGCACTCAGCCCACATCAGCCTCCAACTCCATCCCTCTTGGGCCTGCATGTTCAGATTATTAACTCCTTTTATTCACCAGCCCCAAACCACAATTTTATTTTCCCTGCAGAGGACACACCAACAGACGTTGAAAGCTTGAGAGAGGCTCACTCAGAGCTCCTGGTTTGGAAAAGGAGCAAAATGAGGTGTAGGACAATGCCTCCCATTCGTGGAAGAGGTTTAGCAGACCTGAAAGGGTGCAGGGAATAAACCCATTTGCTTTGGCATCTTGCTGAAGTCATGGCAGAATGACAAAGCCAATGCTTGAGCCTTCTGGTGAGCAGCCAGCTGTTGGGAGATGTTGTGCTTCAGCCCCAAACCCTTCTGCCCTTTTTCTGGGAACTGGCCGTCAGGAATGGGGTCTTTCTGCTCATAAGGGAACAATCTGGGAAATTCATTCTTGCCTCACTGTCATTTCTCATCCTGCTTAC